AGTTTTAGGAAATATATTCCAATTCAGGATTGTCTGTAGAGATTTCGGCTTCATAATCTTCTTTTAAACTGATTGCTCAACACAAGTCGCCTTATTCGCTAGCTTTTTATCCAAAAAAAGTGTCTCAGTGTGTTCAGTATAGATGTCTCATTTCTTTTCTTATTGTACTTACAGCCGATTTTGACCACTTTAAACGCCACAAATCTCATTAGCTTCGAAACTTTGTACCTCAGACGGAAACGAACCCACAATTCGCCCTTTCCTAGTGGAGCGTGATATCCAATCGTGCTACAGAGGATCCTGCTCTGATATCACTTTTTTGAGATATGAGGTTATTGACCTGCAAACAACCATAAGCCAACAAATTGCCACCAATCGTCACTGTACCCGGAGGTGTGGACAGATATTGGATATAAATATAAATACAAATAATATATATATATATATATAATATATATATATAGAATTTTTTTGAAATGCCGAAAAAGTTCTGTTAACTTTCATTTGGTCAATTTAGCTTTGATATGATATTTCAGTTGTGTTTGAGTCATGGATCGTAAAAGTCAACGACTAGTTGTGTGGCAGAAAATACTCGCACACGTTTCCACCGTGAGTTCGTTCCAACTGCTTTTCTAAACCGTTTTAGGCTCGTCTACTCTATTATGACGAATGACCGAGCCTTTTCCACAGTGTGGACCACACGGAGTAATCCAATGGGATGAGATAAGACGAATTTTGATGGTAAGCACCAAAAGCCTAGAAACTGCTTTTGACAGATGGCAATCGTTTAACGGACCGAATGCGCAAGCTCAGCCCTGATGAGCTAAATCCGTCGGCGCTTAAGTGTTGAGTAGTCCAAGGCTTGAGGGTGCCCGTAAAACTTTCTCTTGATAGCTGGCAGCGTTGATTTTGGAATTTTTGTTGAAGAAGACAAACGGTGTTTTTCCGATGGCGCAAATGTCAGCTTAGACCATCAAGGAAGCCGGAAAATGACTGCGGCTTGAAGTTTCTGCTAATGCGAAGTTCTGCTGACGTTCCTTAGAAAGTTACGATTGTGACGATGGGAGTGGTTTGGCTTTGACACGCGCTTGGGACGAAAACGGACGAAGCGTGTGCAAACATCTTATGCAACTCTTTGGCTGCGATTCCTTGATTTTCGCGATCTATAACTTGAACAGCCACGGACCTCCCTCTTTGAGGGATCCCGCCCAGTTAGTCGCGAGGGCACGTGGCGCGTCCCCAGGTGGTGGATAGGGGAATAAAACGCGAACCAAAAGCGACCGTGTGCTTCCCAGAGACGCAGGTGGATTCAGGGGACGAGCTCCGTGCTTCTGCAGCGCCGACTTGACAAAAACTCTATTTCTACGAGTCAAGTCGGCGAAAAGCCTGCAATCAAGCGGCTGGGAAGTACATGGGAGGCGGTTAGGAGTCGCCTCCAACAAATAAGCTCCTCCCGCTCCTCCGAGAGAGACTGGCAAGCTACTCGTGAGTACCCAGCCCCCACGTTTAGAGCCTGGCAAGCTACACGTTGGGTATCAAAAATGCCAAAAACAGTAACAAATATGGGCCTCATTCCCCTGACCCCGAAAGAGCCCCTGGTACGGTAGCGCCAGGTAGGACGAGTACGGAGAGGCTGCTAAAATCTCAGGGCCGAACTAGGCTGCCAAGATCGAAGACGGACTAAAATGACGATCTGTACCTACAATGCAAGAACCCTTGCTCAACAATCCGCTGTAGAAGATCTGTTGATTCAAGCAAGAAGAATAAGGTACGACGTCATTGGCCTGGCTGAGACGAGAAGGCGCCATCCTTTTCACGCTGTCTATGACACCGGAGAAGAACTGTTCCTTGGAACATGCGATCGCAGAGGTGTCGGTGGCGTTGGCGTCCTCGTCAAATCGAATTTGACGTGAACATTGATTTGTTCGAACAATAACAACCCGCATCGGACGATTACGGTTGAAACGATGTGGTTCTATGCCGGCTTTGACCATCTTCGTTGCTTACGCACCAACATCAAGCTATGACGAAGACGAAGTCGAAGCGTTCTATATGGACCTCGAAAAATTCTTCAGAGAAGATCATACATTCTTCAAGGTCATTGTCGGAGATGTTAACGCAAAAATTGGACCTAGAAGAACGTCTGAAGAACGTCACATAGGGACCCACGGACTAGAATGAAATGAACAGGGTGAGAGGTTATCCGAGTTTATCATGACGACCCAAACCATCCATGGTAACTCGCAATTCCAAAAGCCTCTCTCTCAGCGATGGACGTGGGAGTCTCCCAATGGAGAGTACCATAACGAAATAGATCACATCATAGTAAATCGAAGGTTTTGCCTGACCGACGTCGCTGTTGTTCCCAAGTTCTACACGGGATCAGACCATCGCCTCCTGCGCAACGTTCCGATTTTCGAGGAGAGGAGAGAAAGCCGCTAAATTCAAACAACGAAGTCCCAGAACTACCATAAACTGGAATGTATTCAAATCATTAGTCGGTTCTTGGGAAGATACCGTTGTCGACAACATCGACGAAGAATACGATCGACTCGTTGAATATCTTCACGTTGGCGCTAAAAAAGCCGAAAGTCCTAAGGTCACGAAGAGACGCTTGTCTCCGCAGACACTCGAGCTGATACGTCAACGTGGAATCGCACGAGCCGCAGGCAACCGAAACCTTACGTCCGAACTTGCGAAACGATGCAGAGAAGCGATAAAAGAAGACCTTAAAGAGAGAAGAGCAGCAGATATGGCAGAAGCTGCAGAAGCTGGGAAGAGCATTCGCAAAGCCCAGCGAGGCTTCGCCAACTATAAGACCAAGATGATTGCACTCCGATACCCTGACGGGACACTTACAGCTTCCAGAAGGGCTATGGAGAAAATCATCCACTAATACTACTCGGATCTCTTCGCTAGCCATGTCCTCTTACAGTCATATAAATTGAAAGAGGATGAACATGTCGTTTCCACCGGTCCTCCCTTCCGACATCCGACATGCTATATCGTCGGTGAAAAACAGAACAACACCCGGTCCAGACAGGATTAGACCAGAACACCTGAAGAACCTGCCGCCAGTTCTCATCAACACCCTGGCTCGGCTCTTCACTCGCTACCTGTCAGAATGCAAGGTCCCTATCCAATGGAAAACCAGCAAGACCGTATTGTTGTTCAGAAAGGGAGACTTTCACGACATAGGCAATTATCGCCCAATCTGCTTGCTGTCCGTTGTCTATAAACACTTTACTCGAGTCATCCTGAACAGGATTGACAGAACACTGGACGAAGGACAGCCATGCGAACAAGCAGGGTTCAGAAAAGGATTTAGTACCATGGACCACATCCACACGATCACAAGACTCATTGAAGTTTCGCGAGAGTACAAACAACCACTCTGTCTCACTTTTATCGATCTGGAAAAAGCCTTTGATTCAGTGGAAACAGAAGCGGTTATAGAGGCTCTGGATAACCAGGGCGTCCCTACTCGGTACATAATGATCCTTCGTGAGCTTTATAAGGATTTCACGACCAGAATATCTCCATTCTACAACAATATCACCATTGACGTAAGAAGAGGGGTTCGACAAGGCGATACAATATCGCCAAAACTATTCACTGCCACCCTACAAAACGTCATGCGAACATTAGAATGGGACGAAATGGGAGTGAAAATTGACGGTCGACAATTAAACCATCTTCGCTTTGCTGACGATATCGTTCTCATAACGCCAAACATCAGCCAAGCGGAACGAATGTTGACTGATTTCGATAACGCCTGTGGAAAGATCGGTCTTCAACTGAATCTAACGAAAACAATGTTCATGAGGAACGGATGGGTTTCTAATGCCCCATTCACGCTCAACGGAACGACAATTTCCGAATGCTCCAGTTACATCTATCTAGGTCGTGAAATCAACATGATGAACGACCTAGCCCCAGAGTTGAGCAGGAGGAAACGAGCGGCTTGGGGAACGTTTAAGGCATCGAAGATGTAGTGAAGAGGACAAAGAACATCCGACTCCGTGCCCACCTTTTCGACTCGACAATTATCCCTGCCGTAACGTATGCAGCAGAAACCTGGTCGCTACGTAAGCAGGATGAAAGATCACTTGCCGTTATCGAACGCGCAGTCGAAAGGTCGATGCTAGGAGTATCTCGTATTTCGCAAATGAGACAAAGGATCCGAACTTCCGACCTACGTCAACGATCGAAAATCAGAGACGCCGTTCTACACGCCAGGATATCGAAAATAAGGTGGGCCGGACACGTGATGCGCTTCAACGACAACCGATTTACGAGAGCCGTTACCGACTGGATTCCTCGGGACGTCAAGCGCTCTAAAGGAAGACCACTGACCCGTTGGTCCGATTTCTTCACGAAAGCGATGGAAGAAAGATATGATGCTCAGCGAATTCCTACAGCGAGGAGGACCCACTGGGCTACTCTTGCACGCGATAGGGAAAAATGGAAAAGTTGCTGGTACCCGCTCGAGTCACTCGGCGATCAACGGGACGACAGGTGACAGGTGATACAGGCGATAACTTGAACATAGCCGAAAATAGGCATGTAGATAAAACACACGCTAGAGCTGACTTGGTCAAGGAATTCAGTCTCTATATTTAATCACTTTTAGCAGTCAGGTAAGGTTACAAATATATAGCTCACATTGCGTCAGCCGGGCTTCGAACCCAGATCTCACTCTTTCCGGGAGCGTATGCTAACCGTTGCACTACCGACACTCGTTTTGCACAGCACTCTTATTTACGCTATAACGCGTTGTCTGCCAACAGCCAACCGTCGACGGTCTGGCGGGGCAGCCGCTATCGGCACTGAACCCACTTGAGTTGACAGACATTGGATATCGATAATCAGTCATAATTCTTTCTATTTTGACTGCCAACTGCAGTGGTATGATCTTATAGTATAACCAATATGTGGAGTACTGTGCAAAAACGTTTGCGTCAGCCGGGATTCGAACCCCGATCTCACTCTTTCCGGGAGCGTATGCGGTAGTGCAACGGTTAGCATACGCTCCCGGAAAGCGTGAGATCTGGGTTCGAATCCCGGCTGACGCAAACTTTTTTGCACAGTACTCCACATATTGGGTATACTATAAGATCATACCACTGCAAGTGGCTGTCAAAATAGAAAGAATTATGACTGATAGCTCACACTGTTGAGTGATGTGCAGTTTTAAATCTCAGATGGGAGCCAAGTCCGCATTTCACTTTTTCCGAGAACTCGTGTTAGTTTGATAACAGAACAGAAGCCTCAGTAGCGCGATTGGTTAGCACTCACCTGCAGAAAAGGCAAATTTTGCGATGTGTTTCCATGTGAGGTTACAGGTATTGCATTTCATCAACATTATCGGATACATGCTCATCAGTATATCACTGTAAAAAGCAGTTAAATTGAAAGATTTCACATTAATTACATGTAATCTATATCTGTCAGAGCAGCTCGGTTCAGTGGCGTTATAAGCTTATAAGCCAGCCGTTGGTGATTGGATGCTGACAGATCGATACCACGTAGCAAAAAGAATGATAGCAAAAGAGGAGCTTCTACAGAGCAATTATCAACCACGCGACTCCGAAAAGGATGAAATGAGGGGGCTCGAAACCGTTATGGGGTTTAAAGTCTTGTAAATCACTAACATTATCTGTTATGTGTTTTATTATTATGCAATGCTAAAGGCGGTTGGATAAATAAAGGAAGGAAATTTTGCGATTATACCAATCACTCCAAAAATGAGGCGCTGAATGTAGGAAGCCATCATTTAGCAAACCAGTACGACAAAAGAGGTTTTTCTCAGAGTTAGCAAATTCGAAACTTGTAAGGGGAAGACGATAGCGACAACTCTGTTTGAGGCAATGATGAGGTGAGAGTAGATGCACACATACCAAAATATGACAGCTACCGTGCCCAACAGTCAGCCAATTATTTCGGTGGACAGTTTGCTATCCCTGAATGATATAAAATTTGTTGATACAGTATTCGAAATTTTTAGTCTTTATCCACTTTTGCGAATTGAAACCGCACTTTTTTCTTTTTTTTTTGGTGGATAACATCGAAGGACACTTGGAGTCTAAGGGTGCTCAGTGACCTGCAAATCTTTGAAAATTCAGGTGCGGGATGACTCATGAGAGTTCAAAGTTTAATATCCGCTTGAGATTGAGAGAATCGCGCAGCATCATTGGATTTTCGCTTTCCATCATAACACTGCTACAAAAGCGGAAAATTCAAGAAAACCCTTTTATGATGTGTAGAATTGATTAATCAGGGGTGGAAATCTTAAAATGAATAAATCCACTCAGACTAAGCCCAGGTGTTCTTCTCATTATTCTCGAGGCTATTAGCATAGCTTGCTAAAACGGCTCAAAAGAAGTATTCTGCAATACTTAAGTCTCTACGTCTCTAGAGAAGGAACTATGTACTACTGTTTCGTAAGTTTCGTAAAACTTACCAGACTTTGTGAAAAAAAGGATGGGCTTCATAGCTAGAATGAGAGGGGAAATTTCGTAGGGATGAATCGGCACCAAGTTTCTTCCAGGTTTTATTGGCAAGCAGTCTTATTTGAAACGAAATTTAGTACATTTCCGGATGCTATAGTGATTATTAAGGTTCAAACAATAGCGCTTTCTTAAAAGAATTATAAGTTTTCAACGGAGCGTCAACTTGAGATTTGGTTATTAGGGCATTTATAATGGCATTATTGTAAAAGTGCTCATTCAGGTTCGACTACTTTGCGCGCTTATAGGTCTAATCATCTTCCATCTCTGATGGAGAAATACAGTAAGCCAACCACCGCATTCTTGGCAGCAATCTAGTAATTATGTCTTCTCATAAGTTTTGACACAAGAGCAATACACACCAAATTTAACAACCACAAGTAATTAAAATTGCTTTAGAATACTTCTTAAAATATGTGTCATCAGCGTGAACATATTTCTGCAGCTCTCAAGCAACAAATTAATAGTGCACTTACAAAACTCTTCATTCTTGCCCGAATAGGTGATAGTCAGAAGGCCGCAAGTTGGGGCTGCACGGCAGATGATCCAGCCACTCCCAGCTTTGATTCGATAAGCTTTTTTTGCCAATTTGGCAACATGCAGTCTTGTGTTGTCTTGATGCAGGGTGAGATTGCGAAGACTACAAAGTGGCAACACTCGCAGCGGTTCAGGCGCACATAGTAGCATTCGGCGTTTATTGTCTCTTCCGCTAAGGCAAGTCCCAGTGAATCGGCCTGATTGGTTTCCAAATGGTGATGAGCACAACCTCTGTCACGAATCGATTTGGACGTGGAGTTGAAGTTCCTCGTTGGTTTGGTGACTACAATTGATTTCGATGACGCTTACTCTGAAATATTATCCACTTTTCGTCGACAGTGATGATCTTGGGCAGAAATGGAGGGAAGACGCAAATGTGCTAAAGCTGATGATGGTGCATAGCTTGAAGAATGTTGTTGAGCAATTTTGATTGCTTTTGGTTAATAAATCTTGCTCTAACGCAAATCTATGAGAAGACATACAAATATATGTTTTAACCTACATATATTGCGACCAATAACTTCAAAATTTTACAAACCAAAAATTATGAACATTCACAGCAATGTAATCGGTGTAATTCAGAGCATATAAATGAGTAGAGCACCAATATTTTCTGTGCTGTGTGAGAGACACAACAAGCCAAATAATTCCGAAAAGCTGGATTGCGTTTTCACGGTTAACATAGCAGTGCTGCTTGAGACCAGAGCAAACACTCCTATCTGGAATTTGTGATTTTCGTTTTGTTTTATAACCATACTACACAGCTTTGCATTCTCTAGTGACATAGGAAATACGTCCCCACATTATGTACAGTTAAGAAACTTATGTAGGATTCAAAGCTATATTTTCAAAAATGCTTTGAACCCTGAAGTAACGTTTTTTTACTGCATGTGATTTTATATATCTCACTTGTTTTGCAAGCAAAATGCGCGCTTATGTACTCTGATTGTCAAAAACTGCCCAGTTAATAAAGTGGGAAGGTCACAATGGGTATTTCTGGCCCTCGTTTAGTTTCATAAACACTTTTCACACAGGATGTTGTCGAAAGACATGAAAAAGAGGATTTGGCAAGCGTGTGGTTTTTGCGAGTAATTCTGACATGATGGGGTTTTGTAGCCAGTCCAGTACTTCAAATCTTAATAGCGTTTGTATGCAGTGTGTGGCAACGCGTTATAGTGGGCTTTCATTTCGTGCCACAGCCACAACATTTTGTCGGCTCCTTTAGCCATCAACCTTTCTCAGAGCTTAGTCTTCAAAAAAATGGATTTGCCTGCATCGAGTCCTTCCGGCAGACTCGAACAGTTAATTATGTATTTGCTTACACCAAACTCAATTCATCGATGTAAAGAAGAAGGACGCTACCTAATCCTCAAATCTTTAAGAGCGAAATTTCTGGAACAAAGTTTTTTGAACCAGCTCCACACTGGGCATGTGTTAGCCCTCTCTTGGTCCTGTAGTTCATCAGCGGGTCACTTGTGCTGCACCGTACTCCTGTCTCAGCTTGTAAAAGGAAGTTAATCAGTAGAGGACAGGGAGCACAATGGTTGGAGGTGCCCTTCAACACACGTGACCTCAATCGATGGCCAATGCAGAAAGACTAGATACACGGTGAGGGTGAAACACGGATTCAACTCCCGCTTGAGGCACATTTCTTATATACCAGTCGATTTACATGCAAAATACGCAGTGGAGTTCTTAAAGAAATAGTTGATATCAGAAGCAACACGAAGTAAAGCTATAGACTCACTACGATCATGATCGTCGATACCGTGATATATTCCAAGTGAATATACAACAAAGTACTTGAAAGGGTTGCCATTTGGGAAAATGCAAAAAGTTTCTGTACATTTGATTTTGAAAACATTTGCCAACACTATATACCTCAAGAAGATAAATGAGACAAGAGAGACTAATCTTACGCCTACGATCAAAGCGATAACTTATTAGGCACACGGTGCTGTGCACATAAACACAGTAATTATGATTCCATAGACTCATTCTTTCATAGGCCTTCAAGCCCGTTTTGAGACCCTTTTTATTATCTGAGCGAGGAAATGGAGCGAATACCTCAAAAACTCGTTAGTCAATTCGTTACTGATTACTGTTCAGTGAATAGATACCGATTTCAATAAAATTACAGGACTGCACGGTGTGTTCTGTGTTTAAAAAAATGTTCAAACGTTGCAAAACGTCCATCATTTTAGCATCTCTCATCTGAAAACACATTCGGCACGCAAGAAATATGCAGTACTCAACTAAACACTGCGTAAATCCTAAAATTTTTGTATTCCTTTGACTTCAGTACAACAACTGCTTCCTAGTGCAAATATATTCTGATATGAAAAAAAGGGCAAGCAGCAGGTTAAAGCTGAGACAGTATCACAGGTTTAATTACCGCCTAATTATGACGGGAAACAGGGTGCCCTTGGATACCGAACACACGTTTGCACGAGAAAAATTCTTTGCTACATCTCTAGTGCTCGGTTGTCGAGGTGACTTTCAAAAATAAGAGATGTTCACGGTCGAACCACTCCACAAGCGCTAGAATGGGCTTCAACTTTCTAAAAAGGGTTAGTGGATGTCCACACTAGCAAAAGCCATGGACTGCAGTCATTTTGATCTCTGTGATGGTCCGGATCTGCATTTGCTCCACCGGAAACACGCAGTTGTCTTCATCACCAGAAACATTTAAATGAACGCTGCCAGCTATCATCGGTAAGTTTCACGGGCGAACACTAGCTCTGGAGTACTCACCACTATGCCGCCGACAGATTTTAGTCATTAAACTTTCTGAATCTCAATCCATTGAATTAATGCATGTGTTCCATACTGAGCAAAAATCTTAGCTACTTGTTAAACTACGGAAGACGCTCTTAAAACGGCTTTAGCCGGCGCTTGGGATGAAATTATGGTGCAAACGTGAGCGAGCATCGCTCAAAATCTTTGCAGGCGACTTTGTAAAAGTATAGAGCCCAAAGGAGGCAATTTCGAAAATTTAGCATGAGTGATCTTATTTCTTGTTATAATTG